TGCTGTGTAGGATTTTTAATAAAATAACTGTAAATAAAACAGATTAGTAAGTCAAATATACTGCTAACTTTTAACGTATAAGTTATTATTTACACCAGAGAATTTGCAAAAATAGCACATACATTCCTTATCTTGACTATTTCTAATGCCAACCCCTATATTATACCAACGTGTTGTGGGCTAAGCTTTGCCTGTGACACCAGAATTCCATGTGGACAACAGTATGACCCTCAGCAGCTACACTCTGGACCCAAGCCCTGGCTTGTGGCCTAGAAGATCAAAAGAGGATAGCTGAAGTCCAGGGGAATCTTCTGCTTTTGGACAGAGTGATTCAACTCTGGACATCTGGGTCATTCACAAAGTCAGCCAGTTAATTGAAGGTTGTGTATATGTGCGTGTGTGTGTGTTTCGTGTAACTTCTTCAAATAAAGATAAAATAAATCTTTTAAAAATGTTAAAATATATATTGCCAAGTCATGATTTTTATTTGATATTGTTTGCATACTTTGTGCTGTTTTACAGTAATAAGAGATACAGAGTTATATACAGATAAATGGATGTATAAAGGGATACGTGATTGGAGAGAGAAAGAGACAGAGAGAGAGACTGAGATTTTAAGTTACTCCTTTAATGAAAGGTATTTTTCATGGTATGAATCCCTTCCAACTGTACTCCTAACCATCAAAAACTTTTGAAAAATGTTAATCTACATTCTATTTCAGATTTTACATTTCATTATTTCAGAATAATTGCATCTTTTGGAACTTGTTTTCCATTTAGTAAAACTCTTTTTAAAGCCTTCATTATTATTATTATTATTATTATCATTATTATTATTTCAGCTAGGAAAGTATATTGAAGTCTTTTCTGTTCATTCAAGAATGACCATAGTCAATAGTACATATCCAGATTATCAACAAAAAAATATTTGGATGTCATGGAAAAGGTATTATTTATAGGTGGGGGATAAGGTGCATTCCTGTTAACCATGCTTACACTCCTGCGTACGTGTGCCATTTTGTGACTGATGCTATTAGGCAGCAAAAGCATCATACTTACAGTTATTTTTTTCTGAATTAATGACATTTGAAGAATCATGCTTATGATAGAACCTGAGGCCTGTAATGGCCGCAGTGATGGAATTGTCCTGAAAAACTGCATTGGGCTGCTACATGAGTAATAGGGAAAATTCTACTGGGGTGTATATTCTTTTTTTAAATTTCTTTTTATCATTATCATTTAATGATACAGTTCCTAAGGCCCTGAGATTTCCTTTATCCCCTCCCTAATTCTCTCCCCTCTCACTGAGTTCCCCTATAACATTACTATACTATAATTTCATACACAATCATATGTCCATTTTGCAGGCATGGATAATAGCAGAGAGTCCAGCATCGTATTGTCAAGACATAGTTAACAGTTGCATTCGGAGTCCATCTTTGTCTGGAAGTAGAGATGCATACTGCATTGCATCCTCACTTCTGGATAGGATGGTCTCCATTACGCAGTTACAATACATCTCCTTAAATGAAAAGCCACAAAACAAAATCAACAACAGGACGAAAAATAAAAAAAGAAATTAGCAACAACATGAAGTTAAATAACATGATACTGAGTGACTAATGTGTGTTGCTGAAGAAATGAAAAAGAAAACCAAGAACCTTCTTGAAGAAAATGATGCTACTGTATGCTGTATGAGTCACTGAAGACTTTAATCAGAAGAAAGTGTTTTGAAGAGATGAAACTAACAACAAAATCAAAATCCATGAGATATAGTTTCTGCTGTTCCTTGTTGGTGAAATGTGTCTCCTGTAGGCAACAAATAGGTGGGTTTTGTGTTTTTAATGCAGTACACTAATCTATGACATTTCATTGATGAGTTTAAGCCATTTGCATTCAGGGTTAATAGAAATAGGTGGTAATTTGGTTTCATCATTTTAGCAATGGGTTGTTCATTGATTTAGTCTTCTGTTTTTATTTTACTGGGATGTTCTTTGCATTTATGTCTGGTTTTTGTGGGCACTATTCCTTTTCTCTGTCAAATGTATATCTTTAAGTATCATTTGTAGGGAAGGTTTAGAAGAGGCATATTCTTCTAACTTTTCTTAACTGTGGAAGAATTTTATTTCACTTTCAAAGACAAAGAAAAGCTTTGCTGGGTACATTATCCTGGGCCTACTATTTTTTTTTTTTTTTTTTTAGAATCTGAAATATCTAGCTCCATTCTTTTCTGGCCTGTAGAATTTTCTGTGAGAGGTCTCCCGTGTGTTTAATTGGCATCCCTTTATATGTCAATTGATTTCTTTTTCACATGAAGATTTAAGGAGCTTTTCCTTGTGTTAGATTGAAGAGAGCTTGATTATCATGTGTCTTGGTGAAGATTGCTTTTGACCAACCCTGTTTGGAGTTCTATGCCCCTCCTTGTTGTTTTTCCCAATTCTTTCTCTACTTTCTCTAGATTAGGGAACTTTTGCCTTATTGTTTCATTAAATACATTTGTAAACCCAGCTTCTCTTTCTGCACCTTCTGGGACTCCTATAACTCTTTTTTTTTTTTTTTTATTAATAAAATTAATTTTGACATTCTTCACATACTTAGTTAGAGTAAGAAGGTTCAAGGGCTACAGGAAAGTGGATAATACTAGTATGTTTTCCATATTGTTACCTTCATGTTAAAAAGGGGGGTATTAAGGGAGAAGGCCCACCCAATTTCCCACCCTCCCCAAGTCCCGGGTGTAGGGCATGCTCTGAGGTTCTTCCTCGAGTGGTTTTGATATTGCAACAGTTATGAATCGCTGTCAATCTTGCCACTCCAAGCACTATGAGGTCTTTGAAAAATCCACTGATTCACATAGTCCATCATAGCTGAGATGGTTGGTTGACCTGTTCTGTCTTCTCTCTTTTCTTCGTTAGGGTTCTGAGTCCAGCATTTAGATTAGGAAGATCTCCAAAGAAACTTCTTGTATGTGCTAACAAGTACAGGGCCAGGCACCGTCCATCGCTCCAATCAGCTGGTGGTTGTAATTGCTGGGTTGGTTCTGTTTTCACTCCCGACTTCCACTGGAACCAATGGGTGTTGCGGTCCAGCCTGGTTCTGCCCCGCACATATTTGGCCCTCACCTAAACCAGTGGGAGCTGCAGCCTAGTTGGAGCGACCCACAATAACCCCCACCAGGACCGCCCCTACCCTGGTTTGCCAGTAAGTGTAGTAGTAATCCAGTCTGTCCCACACCCCATTCCACCCCAGCCACTGTTTAGTTTTATGTCCTCCCGTGGAAGTGGTAACCCAAGAGGGATGAGCCCACTATTACCCTCCCAGGCCTCTCACACTCCCAGATTCCAGTTACTGCTGCCCAACTAAACCTCGCCCACTTTAATTCTGTTTGCACCAGTAGCAATAATCAGCTCAGCTCGGCTTTTCCCTGATCTAGTCCACATGAGGCACGCAGGTGTGGTAGCTCTGCCTAGTCTGGTCTGCCCCCATCCCAGCCCATGCTCTCCTGCGGAAGTAGCTATCCTGCAAAGGAACCCTCCCTTATTCCCCTGCTGGCTCTGCCTACTTCCTTTCTTGTTCTCAGGCTGGTTGGACGCTGCGGTCCCCTCTGGTACAGGCAACCTCACCTCGGCATTCCATATTGTGCACTAGTCTTTGTTGCGACCGAACCTGGGTCAACCCACACTGGTGCCTGGATTTGCCAGTGGATGACGTGGACAGATTCAGCCTGGTCTTGCCCCCACGTCTGCCAAGTGTATGCCAGTGGGTAGCTTTCCATGGCCTTTTCTGGGCTGTTTCCTATCATGTTTCTTGCGCTGACCTGTCGGGTCTGTGTCCTGCCAGAGGAGTTGCCCAGGCTCCTCCATCAGAACCTCTCCCAATGCCAGGTTACACGCTTACCAGTGGGTCCATGAGCCAACCATACTCAGTCCACCTCCTGTCATAGCAGGAACTGTGGCTTTTCCTGACTGGCCTTCCACCCAATCTGGTTCTTGCTGTTGGATGTTCCGGCCCAGCCATGGTTTGTCCATACCTACGTATGGCTCACACATGGCTCAGTAGGGGTTTGAGACCTTGCCTAGTCTATCACACATCTGCCCTGGTCCTCCAGAACACCAGGGGGAGTCGGGGTCCAGCCCGGTTCGGTGCATCCAATCCCAGTCCACACTTGTGCCAAGGGAGACTACAACTGTATCCAGATCAGAACGCAGCCCCCCTTCCAGGCCATGCACCTCTTTGTGGGAACCTCAGCCCAGCTAGGGTTGTCCCCTTTGCTCCCCAACCGAGTCTGTTCCCAGCCATAGATCACTCGCATGCCAGTGGTTGCTCTGACTCAGCTTGGCACAGCTCCTCACCTGTCCCGACCTCTGCCTTAGACACTGTGGCTTCGTGTCCCTGGCTCCTGCAGACCAGTAGGTACAAGAGCCTAGCCTGGCATGACCTTTGCTCCCTCCTGGTTTCTAGTTTTACTTGTGGGCTAAGGTTTGCTCATTCGTACCAGATCTGCTCTGTTCCCTACCAGTTGACACATTAGCCAGCCGTTGGAGCTACTTTTGCAGGACAAGCCCCAAGCCCAGGCTTCTGCATGGACTGGTATTTGGTGCCCAGCATTATTAGTGATTACAACTTTTACAAGGAAAGAGTTACTGCCTGTTTGAGGTCCGAGAATCACAATGGGTTCAACCTGGAGCTAATTAAGCAGCGAATCAAAGAACCAAATCCCCAGAGCTCCCGGGCCGGGCGGCCAGCAGGCGGAGCCTGGCACCAATGGCGCACTGGCCGCCCGGGGAGGACGGCTCACCATGTGCCCATGGCGGCCGTCCGGAATCCAGGCATGAGACGCCCCGTCCTGAGACCCGCCAGCCGCCGGGAGGCTGCTGGAGGTTTAAAATTCCCAGGCCCAAGGTCACGCCCCTCCCAAATCCCCTTCACCGCCCAATGAGGGCGGTGGCTGGGTGCCGGACCTGCCGTCCTATAACTCTTATATTTGGCCTTTTGATCACCCAAGATATGTCCAGGTAGCCCTCAAACATGATAGTCAGCAGATCAAGAACTCCAGTAGTGGCACATCAGGCGCCATTTTGTACAGTGTCATAAACATTTTAAGATTACAGGAACAACAGTGAGTGGTGCATGCACCGAGCTCAGCTGAGCGCAGTACTTTGCACTGGTCCCACAGGAAAACAATACCGACTATCTCATCATATGAGTCAAAATAGGTGTGTGTGGCTCTCAATACTAATAGCCAACAGGTTCCACCAAGATCAGTCTCACCAACAACCTAACTATATATGACAATTGGTATTTCCCTAACCCTGGGTCCTGCCCCAACAAGAAGTGAAAGGAAGGTTGTACAGACAATGTTGCAGCTTCTACATGGTATCACAGGAGGCGGAATCTGGTGAACAAGGAGCTGGAGCTACGGAGACCGTGGTGGAAATCTAACATAAGAACCCAGACATGGAACTTGCTATAACTGCAAACGAAGAGCCATGTACCAGCTGCAATAAGTAAAAGTGAACTGTAGACCTGTGGTGATACAGTTTAGAAATCTGCCCCAAGGAGAAGAATCTGATAACCAGAAATACAGTGACCAAGAGCAGAAGAGACAAAGGCATAACAAATTTTCCTGAAGATTTCCCTGCAAAGGAACAAAACCCTTTGCCAACCTCAGAGTTAACTGAGGAAAACTTTGAGAAAATGGGGGATACATGATTCAAAACATTTGTTGTAAAACTTCTTGTTAACAATGAGAAGCACATAAAACAGGCATTCCAGGAATTTAAGCAATATGTCACACTGGAAATGCATCAAATGAAAGCTGACATATCAAAAACGAAGAATACAATGGAACAAATTAAAAGTACAGTGGAGAGTCTCCACAATAAAATAAATGAAGCAGAAAAAGAATCTCAAAATAGAAGACATTTCCTGTCACCAGGGGAAACAAACAAGAAAGTGGAAGCAGGGCTGGATCAGGGTAAAAAAAGTATTCAAGAATTGGGGTATATATTCTAATGTGATAATTGCTATGCTAAATATTCCAGTACCTTATTACAGTTTACCTGTAACTAACTGAGAAACAGAGAAGTTGATTGTATGTGCTGGCTCACTATCACAAATGTCCACAAAAATTGAAACTTTGCCTGACAATAGATAGGATCGAAACAATCTAGTAGCTTCTAGGGTAGGTAGGAATTTAACTCTCTCAAGCCATCATCAGTGTCTTCCAGAGTCTTGCCTGACAGGGAGATGGTGTCAGAGGCCAAAACTGGAGTATCCCCTGTGCTATCCTGGGGGCAATGTGGCCTTAAACAATTCTTAACCAATAAGCTGACCATCTAAGTCTTCAAATCTCATTTTTGTCTTGCTAATGAATTGAAATGTATATAGAAAGCTTATGAGCACTGGAAAATGCAACAATCTTTTATTTTCTTAAAGTTGAATGATTTCACTTTCTGGTAAATTCACTTATGTTTTCCACTTCTCTTTATAAAATAGGTAGACTTTTGTTTTTCTCCAAAAAGGTAAGAGAGTATTCTAGATGCTAAGTGCATCTGACTTACTTATATTGACCAAGTTGTAAGTAAATTTGCATGAGTAATACATAAATACAAGTAGCTAAATCAACAAGGCATGTATTTCTTCAGCACATCTATAGAATATATTATCTTCCTCTCTAGAAAAGGAAGCAAATCATCTTTATTTTCTATCTGAATGTCATATCCCATACAAACTGGCAAGCCTGCAGTGAAAGAAGATAATAACTACCCCTGCTTTATGGAGTGCTTCTCCTGACTAGCACAGGCAAGAATCGAGCCTCATGATGAAAGAGGTTGTCTCCTTCCTGATTTTGAAATATGCATGAAAGGAAGTGTTTGTTTTGATATACTGGACTAATAGTGTTAATATTTAAATGGTTTCTCTTTTATTCCTAAAGGAACATTTCATTCATATGTGAGATATTGTGTCACCTTTGGTCACGTTGTTTTAGTCTGTTTGGCTGCCTGCTTGTGGTGCCAGTTGCATTGATTTACATATTGAAAACCACATTTTTTTTGCTGCTCAGAAGCACTACAACTTCATGTTTAAACATGGGATTTTTTTAAACACAGAATAAAAAAATGAATAAGTAGAACTGATAGAGCTTAAATTATTACTGGATATGAAAAATGTTAGTATGTCTGAAGGTTCTTGTCTTTGATTAAGTAATACATATCAGCTGCTTCCTAATTGTCAGATATCATCATTAAACTGACAGAGATTAAAAATTGATGTTCTAAAACTCCTCTAGGATTAGTAATATTTAACAACTTGCTCTGAGAAAGTTAAATCCAGCAGTATTACTCATATGCTTTTTAAAATTCTTTTCATGTGAATAAAACTTCCATATTTAACCTCTTATTATTGAAGCCTTTCAAAGAATAAGTAGATTCTACACTGTAAGAAAAAGAAATACCTCTGCTTTGTTAATGACAACGATCTAATCATGGCCAATCTTGCTTCATCTATGTCTTTACCTATTTTATTTTCTGATTAATTTGAAATCAATCCTACATGTAAGAACAAAATTAAAATATATTGATTTTCATGGAAAGGCAAATTTTGCAGTGGGGGGAGACAGAAAGATCTTTCCCTGGAACTAACCATAACAGGTGAAGACCAGCCGATCCAAAACCAGAGGTCAGGAGTTTCTTGTGAGACTTCCACACAATTGCAGGGTCCCAAGGCTTTGGGCCGTCTTCCACTACTTTCCTAGACATCAGGCAGGAAGCTGGATGGGAAGCAGAACACCTGGGACACAAACCGGCACCCATCTGGGATGCCAGCTCTTGGAGGTGAGGGATTAGCCCATTGAGGAATGGCACCAGCCCCATGTTAAAAAAAAAAACAACTTTGAATTATAACTAAACAAAATTTGAAATATGGTGAAATAAAATATCCATCCATAAGAAAAAAAAATATATATTATGTATCTATATGTAAATAAAATGTATATATTTTTCATTGCTATGGTTAATTTGGAACTATTGACACACTATTAGAAAATAATAGTTTAGTCCTTCTCATCTTATAAATGTTTTAATTCTATCATTATTTTTCTTAAACTACTTACTAATGCCATTAATTGACAAAAGACAAATGACATCATGAATCACATTATTTAAAAAATAAGTAAATGGGCCTGACATGATAGCGTAGCAGTTAAAATTCTCATCTTGAACGTGCTGGGATCCCATACTGGCACTGGTTTTAATCCTGGCAACTCCACTTCCCATCCATCTCCCTGTGTGTGCCCTGGGAAAGCAGTCCAGGACAGCCCAAAGCCTAGGGACCCTGCACCCACGTGGGAGACCTGGAAGAAGTTCCTGGCTCCTGGCTTTGGATTGGCTCAGCTCCAGCCATTGCAGCTGCTTGGGGAGTGAACCACTGGATGGAAGATTTTCCTCTCTGTCTCGCCTCCTCTCTGTATATCTGCCTTTCCAATAAAAATAAATAAATCTTTTTTTAAAAATAAGCATATGACCCTGTGCAATAGCATAGTTGCTAAATTTCTCATCCTCCAAGCACCTTGGATCCCATATGGGTACTGATTCTAGTCCCAGTGGACCCATCCAGTTCCCTGCTTGTGGCCTGGGAAAGCTTGGGGAGTGAATCAACAGATGAAAGATCTTTCTCTCTGTCTCTCCTCCTCTCTGTGTATCTGACTTTTCAATGAAAATAAAATAATAACATCTTAAAAACTAGCAGATCGACCAAATGGAAAGACAACAATAATGATGATAAGCCATATAATTAATACACATTTGCACTTATTAGTACTAAGGCAACCAGAATTACACAGAAACCTCTAACACCCCACTTGCTATCTGGGATTTTATCACCCTGTATATTGCTATGTTGAGAATTATATAACCAAGGCATGGCAATAACAACCTATGCCCAGTTTTGGAGATACTTTTCATGAAGATATTTACTTGTGCCCTTTCCCTTCTGTGTTAACACCTATAAGCTACTTGATTTAAAATACACATAAATATATAAATTCATACACACACACATACATTTTATTGTTTATCAGAAAGTAAGGGTTACAAGCTGGGGGTGGGAGGTAAACAGAAAGACAGATTTTTCATTAGCTGGTTCACTCCCCAGATGGCTGCAATAGTTTCAGGTAAGCCAGGCCAAAGCCGGGAGTCTGTATCTCCATGTGGGTCTCCCATGCACGTGTAGAACAAGCCTTAAATCTTCTCAGGTGCATTAGCAGGGAGCTGAATCAGAAGTGGAGTAGCTGGGAATTAACAGGCATCCACACAGATGTTCGTGTTGCAGGCAGTTCAAGGTGCTGAAGCATAATGCCAGGCCCACATTTGAAATTTTTCATATAAGAGAAAAGTGTATTAATAGAAGAAAACTAATATGTAGTATATATTCAGGTTACCATGACTGGTTACCTAGGACATATAGAAAGGCTTCGACAATTTTCCTATTTTTGGGCCGATGCCACACTGATTTGGCAGATTCTGCCAGTCATCTCTTACAACACCATTTCACAGAATTTAGCCATGATAATGCCAGGTAGCTCAAGTGGCTCCTTGAAAAAGATTCCAGAACATGCTGATGGTTCCAGTTAAGACTGGAGCTTAGTGAATGAGTCATCTTAGAAGTTGATCAGCTTAAGTATTGATGCTATATTCCAACTTAATCATAATAGAGAAAATCAGTTTACATTCCCAGTTCAGAAGTAAAACAATGTTTTTTTTCAATACACTATACATTGTGTTATATACAGCATTAGATAACCAAAGAAAATAAACCTCCAAATGCATTACATTATGGAGGAAGCTTTAGTTCTGGGTTCTATATGATGTTGACTACATATCCTTAAAAAGTAGTATTGTCAATAGAACATCAGTTTGTTGTTGAATGTTCTATCCTCAACCTCCCTTTAAAATAGCATGCTGTTCTTTAAAATTCCTTTATTCTGTGTATTCTGTGTTCCTTTTGCCTTACTGCTTAAAAAATTGTTATAGTGTGTGTTCACAATTTTCCAGATTCATAGAATCTAATGTCAAGTGCTTCTATTCACAGGCTATAAAAATGTTTAAAAAATAAGTGGCATGATTTTATCCCTTAAACCATAATATTTGTTATGGGTGCAATATTGATTTCTGAGTGAGTGAATGATTTAAACAGTGCCTTGTTTATAGACTCTTATTCAT